TGAAGTCTTTCTAACCTCCATAATAATGATTTTATAATCTAATTAAAAAAAATTATCATAAAATTACGTGTGTTTATATGCTAACCAATGGTATCATTAAACACAGGAACATATTTTGGAGATACTATAGGGTTAGTTAATATAGGTAGTCAACCAGCCATGAGTTGATGAGGGAAAATCACGCCAAAAAATAAAAGTTTTCGGATAAATAGAATTAATATTGAGACATCATATATGAATTGTAAGTTTAGCTCTCATAGGAAGAATGGAAGTGAAGTAAGATCGAATGGGATTATGATGTTTAAATGTGGACAATTCCAAGGATTATGATGTTTAAATGTGGACAATTCCAATATATAGGCTTGTTCTTCCAGAAGAATTATACGATAGATGAACATGTCGTACATAAATTTATAGTTGGATGAACGAGTAAGATTGTTAAGTAGTACTGTAATATGAGAGTGAGTACTGAGTCTCTAAGGTTTCAACATGTCCAGAAGATGAATGTTATAATAATACAAGTGCATTAAGATGAATGTACAATCAGACAAGATTAAAAGGATAATATCATATAGATAAGCATTTTCAATTGTCAGAAAACTCATTAATTCAGCACTATGTAATAACTAAAGATAGTACTTCGACATGGCAAAATTTAGCTCTTTGAGGTAACAAGGATAAAATGATGGTACAGTCAGATCATTCTATAATAACATTTCTATTGTAACGACTTGACACAGTCGCTTTGAGAATTTTCGTTCCATTCGGCGGCATAAGGTCTCGAGCAGCTTCGTATTATGTGCTATAACTTGCGTGTGTGGCCGAGCTCAATTTTCGGATGATTCGGGGTCAATTTGAAAGAAGGATTCTTGTTTTACATGTTTAAGCGGTAAGAGTTGATCGGAATTTGATCTTAGTGTAGACGACTCCGAAATAGCATTTTGATGATTCCAATGGCTTTGTATGGTGATTTTGGACTTAGGCGTGCTTCCGAATTTGGTTTTGGAGGCCCGTGGGATAATTTGAAGCATTTCGGCGAAAATTGGAAAGTTGAAGTTTTGGAAGGTTGAGAGGATTGACCGAGAGTTGACTTTTGTGATATGGGGGTCGGAATGCAATTTCGAGAGTTGGATTAGCTCCGTTATTTATTTGGGACTTGCATGTAAAAATTGACGCCATTCCGAGTTGATTTGATATGTTTCGGCGCGAGTTTTGGAAGTTGGAAGATTTGAAATTCATAAGTTCGATTCGTGGTGCAATTCGTAGTTTCAGAGTTGTTTGGTGTGATTTGAGACCTCGAGCGGGTCCGTGTTATATTATGGAACTTATTGGCTTGTTTCGACGCAGTCCCGGGGGCTTCGGGTGTGTTTGGGATGGGCCACATGCCATTTCTTCATGCGTTAGAGATACTGATTCTGTCATCTGGTTTTCTTCATCGCGTTTGCGTCAATTCTTCTGCATTCGCGTAGTGTAATTTTGGAGGCAGGCAATATTTTTCTTCGCGTTCGCATGTTACTGACACGATCGCATACGTGTGTATCCTCCTTCACCGCGTTCGCATTCACAGTTACGCGTTCGCGTAGCACAGCTCAATAGCTGGTATATTTTTCCCTTTCACGATCGCATGTTCTGATTCGCGATCGTGTAGTATATTTCTTGGGGCATAAATGTTTTCCTTCTTCGCGATCGCATATATTTGTTCACGACCGCATTGTGCAATTTCTAGCAGTGGTCATTTCCTTCTTCGCGATCACAATACTTCTTCCGTGATCGCGATGTGCAAATACCTGGGCAGCAGAATATATTTTTCCAAATCGAGGGTTTGGCCATTTTTACCATATCTTAAGTTGTAGACCTCGGCTTTGGGAGATTTTTCGTGGGTTTTTCAAGCAAATCATTGTAGTAAGTGTTCTTCACCCAGAATTTATTATATTCCATGATTCTATCTTTATTTTTATCTTATAATTAGTGTTTTGAGTTGAGGAAAGATGGAAATTTTTGAAGAAATTTTTCACAATGTAAAATGATGATTTGAAGGACGAATTGATGTCGGAAATTGATAATTTTAGTATGGTTGAACTCATATCGGAATGGGTGTTCGGGTTTTGTGAATTTTATCGGATTTCGAGGTGCGGGCCCGGGGGTTGACTTTTTAGTTCTTGTTAAAGATTGAAGCTTTATTATTCAAAAATGTTTTTATGAGTTTTATTTATGAATTGAAGTTATGTTGGATAGATTTGAGCCATCCGGAGGTTGTTCGAACAGGTCATTTTAGAGTATCGGTCTAGCTTCTTTGAGATAAGTATCTTACCTAACTTTGTGTAGGGGAACTACCCCTTAGGATTTGAGTCGTTGGTGCTAATTGTGTTATGTGAAGTCTGTGTACGTGAGGTGACGAGTACGTGCTCGGGATTATTTGTGAAAATTTGACCGTTTAAGTCTCTCAGATTCTTATGTTCATTAGATATGAAGTTGTTTCGTCATGTTAAATCCCCCATTTACTAGTTTCACCTCTACGTGTCTTAATTGGAATTAATTGCTTCATGTTCCACCATTATTGCCGATTAAACTCTTATGTGCCTTAACTGAAATTGTTACCTCTTTTATTACCATGCTATCCTTTCCTAATTGCTTATCCTTAATTGAAGTTATTATTATCTCTTCTATAATTGTCTATCCTTAATTGAAGTTATTATTATCTTTTCCGTAATTGCTTATCCTTAGTTGAATTTATTGTATCTCTTCCGTAATTGCTCAACCCTAAATGAAGTTTTGTTATCCTTTATCATAGTTGACTTATCCTAATTTGGAATTATTGGCTCATGTTATCTCCCTGATCGCCGAATTGTACTTTTGTGGAATAATTGCTACACATTATCTCTTTCTTGTCGAGCTATTTCTATGTTGTATCATTAGTTTCTGTTGTGTCTTTTCTTTGTGAGCTCGTTCTTCCATATTCTTTTTATTTTGAAGTTACTAAGTTGTTTTACTGGCCGTATTCTCGTGTTATTGTCGTTGTTACTGTTGTATTCAGTGTCGTTGAGCCGAGGGCTATGTGTGATTGTGATATTGAAACTATTTTGATGAAATATTGTGGCATGTGGGCACATATTGTGAAAGTCATTTATTTTAGTTGTATGCTTTGACATACTTGTTGTTGTTGGGAGAATTGTTATTGTGTTTGCACGAGGTTTCTGTCGTGCGGTTGTTATTGTGTTGCACGAGGTTTCTATCGTACTGTTGTTATTGATATGCATGCGGTGGTATAAGGTCTGGGTGTTGAAACACATGTAGTGAGATAAGGTGGGCTTGAAACGCGTGGCTAGTAGGGGAACTATTAGAAGCCATGCGGTATAAGAAGATAGGCTAAAACGCAGGATGCTATTTCGGTAAAAATAATTTCAAAAACTAAATATAAAGGCTCCCGCAGTGATATAAGGAAAGTTGTGATTCATTTTACAATTTGAGACTACGAGGCGGTACCTCAGGAGGGCTCTTGTTGTCAGTTCCCCTTTTCTGTGCACTTGTCTTTGATTGTACTACTAATTGTTTTCCTCTTGTTGCTCTATTTGCTCAGATCTATGTAGCTAATCTTGTTGTGCTTGTCGTTACGTCCACTTCATTGCTGTCTTATTTATATTGTATATTTAATGGTGATCGTTTCTTATGTGCTATTCATTATCTCTACACGTAGATGAGTCACCCATATCGGTTTAAGAAGATGAATTCTGACGTTATTGACCATTACATGTACTCTTGTCTACTTGCCTTTTGTGTGAGAGTTGTTCTCTAGGCACGTGAGTCGTTCGTGCGGTTATGAACCGAAACGTGGACACAAGATGTCAAGTGATTATGGTTCAAGAATTGGGACCCGTGAGCTGTAATTATGAGGTTCGGTACCTCGTGGAAATGCTTGAACAAATTTGGTTTGAAAGCGGTTGCTCTTGTTGAGTTGTTACTGATTTTTCCTCTATTTTGGTTTCACCGAACTTAGACTGTGTCCAACTTACTCTACAACATTATACCTGATTGCTTCTTGTTAAATATTGCTTTTATAGGTGTACCGTTGCAAGTATTGTTTGCTATTCCTTACCCTGCTTAGTTGTATATTAATACCATTTCACTATTAGTTCACTTTCACACTTGTTTAAGTTGTTTAGTCCGGTAGGCGTCTTGACTGTCCCCCGTCATTACACCACCGATGTTAGTCTTGATACTTACTTGGTACCATTGTTGTGTACTCATATTATGCTTCTACATATTTTTGTGCAGGTCCAGGTGCCACGGTTATTGTTGATTATTAGCTGGTTGGTCGAGCTGTGAGGACTCAAGGTAAACCTGTCGTCGTGTTCGCGGGCCTCGGAGTCACCTTATGATATTGTACTTGTACTGTTTAACTTCCATTCCGAATAGTTGTATTTAGGTATTCTTCTAGTAACTCAGTATAGCTTATGACTTGTACTACCGGTTTTGGGATTGTAAGTTGTGCTTAAAGATCTCTAATTCAAAATTTTTGATGGTTAAATTCTTCTATTAATTCAGTAAGTGTAAGGCTTACCTAGATGGTTAAATTTTTGATGGTTAAATTCTTCTTTAAATTCAGTAAGTGTAAGGCTTACCATCAAAATTTTTGATGGTTAAATTCTTCTATTAATTCAGTAAGTGTAAGGCTAGGTGCCGTCACGACATCCTATAGAGGAAAATTGGGGTCGTAACAGCCATATTTTTCTTGAAACCGATTTTATGTCATATTATAATATATGTCATCTACAACAACATGTTATTATAGCAATCAAAAATATCGTAATGAACGTGGCCAGCTGTTATAAAGAGGTTTGACTGTATTTGGTTAAAATGAAGTTTAATTCTTCTAAATTTGTCTATCACTACTTCCGTAGTTATTTTGTCACTTCCAAATACTACACAGCCTCACTTTAATAATTATTTCCCTTTCTTGTAGTCTAGTGTCTCCACCCAAAGACAATGTGATGCATGTACTAGACAACAATGTAGTGTAGTAATTTTCATAACATTAGTTAAGGAAAACTAGTTTTATAGTTCTATGAGACAGCAAATAAAAGACTTTTGGAAATAAATTGAAATTATAAAAAAGGACAAAAAAGAACAGAAAAGGCAATGCCTCTCCATTTCACAATGAACAACATCTCCAAGTTTTTTTCACTTCAAGAAGAAAAAAGAATAAAGAACAAAGGTTTGTGTCCTCAAAATGGAGCCAAAAGAAAAAAAAGCAAGTCGAAGAGTAAAAGAAAAGAAGAAACTTTTGAAGAAAGAAATGTATGATGAATATATTTCATTATTTAGTTTTTATGTTTTCTTTTCTTAATTTCACTTTTACTCCATTTAAGTTGGAATCCATGGGCCTGGGCTGCAAAGAACGTGGGCCAAGAATTGGGCTCCCTAACACAGAAAGACCTCAACGCTTGTTGTTCTAATGCAGAGACAGAGTGGACAAGCTTGAAGCGCAGCATCACAATCCGTACAAACACACAAATGCCGACACGGCAAAAGCACCACCGACGCAACTCGCTTCCGGCAACCCTTGCAACTCGGCCCGGTTGACTCAACGACTCGGTCGGGGTCAACGTAGACCGACTCAGCATCTTCCGCTTCGCCGCCATCACTCTCCGGGAGGTGCGCATTGCACCCTCCGGCGCCGTTATTGATCATCGCCTGCTGTAGCTGTGCCTGCAGCGTGGCCGCCGTGAATTCCTCCGCTTTCGCCCTTGCCTGCCACGCCTGCGCCTCCGCACTTAGCTGCGCTGCACGCGCCTCTAACTCCGCGTTGCGCCGAACCGCTTTCTCCACCTCGGCTTCCTTCTCCTTAAGTTGGCGTGCCATCGTTTCCTCGACGGCCCCGAGCAGCGCACGATAGTGTGTACGCCTTTTCTCCTCTAATGTCCGCCTCAATTGTTCTCTCTGTAAAATCCAACTAAATCTAATTATTCATTGCAATTCAGCAAATACAATAAGTAATCTTAAAAAGAATAGGAGTATTACATTTGAAAAATACCTGAACATGGAGGATATGTTCAATTTCGTCGCGCTGCTGTTTGATAATTGTGGAAAAGTCTTCTGTTAATATTGAATAGAAGGTTGATGATTGAGAAGATTGAGGAGAAAGAGAATGATGTTGTTTTTGTTGATGCTGATGTTGTTGCTGGTGTTGTTGTAGCTGTTGGCCGGAAGCTAAACGGAGGCCGGTTGAGACAACATTTAGTTGATGCGTATGGAGCTGAGTTAAGTCAATGAGCTGCTGCTGCGGCTGAGATTGCATTGATGAGATTAATGGATTCATTGCTGCTGCCGTTGCACTAGTGGTGTGGGCGGTAATTTCTCTTCTTCTTTTACAGGAATGATTGGAGCCAGCTGCCATAGCCAAAAGAGTAATAAGGTTAATTACTTCTTTATTCCTATTGAAGTTTTTGTGGCACTACTTATTAAGAAATGATAAACAAAACATTCAATCAATCAACTAATTGAATATAGAGTTCCTGTTCTATTACCTCCTGGATTGAATAGCATTTGTGTGTGATCAAGAATTGATGCTCCACCAGGTTGAGGTTGCGACGAGTAATCATCATTGCTAAGTGGATTCTTTCGTTCTTGTACGCTTCTGCAACGAAGAGAATGAAAATCCCATCAAGGAACTAGTAAGTAATAAATAAAAAGATAAAAAAGAAAATCAGAGGTAAAGGGGAGGGAGTGTTCTTTGATTGGGAGGTGTGTAGAATGCAGATACCTGTTTAAAAGGAGAACATTTGATGGATATTGAGCTTGAACGGCCATTTAAAAATGAAGGTTATATGATCGAAACAGAAAGGTAAATATATGGAGAAAAGGGTGTCAAGTTGAAGATATGCAAACAAGAATTGTGATAGCAATGAAGAGAGATTGTGATTTGGCTCTTAATTGGTAAAGAGGGTGGTGAGAAAGGGAAGGCCTAATTAAGGCTAACACATGAACAGCATGAATCAGGAGAAGAAGATGCCCCAAACTATGGAGGACTATATAACCTAACCAAAGGAAATATCAAGAAAATGAAAAGAATTAGACAAATGTCTTGTATATAGGGAAAAGAAAGAAACTTTTGATTCTTGAGAGAGAGACTAGAGAGGGATTCGGAGTTTAAAGAGAAAAAATTGCGGAGTTGAATGAGTTTTTTTTTTTTTTTTTTTATGTCTGAGAAGAAGAAACCACCAACATGACCATTACTGACCCACACTTTGTTTCCACCTAAGAAACTTTTACTTTGTTTCGCCTGCCTTGATTGCTATGCTATATGCTTTTTTCAAAGCATATGGGAGAGAGAGAGAGAGAAATAGAAGGAGATGCGATCAAATCGAATCAGTCCAAAGAGAGACAGAGAAAGAGAGAGGCAGGCCTCTTATTCTGGTTCCTTGTTTCCTTGCTCTTCTCTTCTTTCGCGTGGGCTTTGGCTTTTCTTTAAAGATGGAGGGACTCTCTCGTGTTTCTCATCTATCTCCTCCTATTTCTAATCCATTACTTGTATTCATTATCTTTTTAACTTTCACTTGGGGTCTGTTTGGAAAGCCACGAGGTAATTGGAATTGGTGTAATTACTAGGGTAGTAATTACATAGTATTACACAGTTGTGTAATTACGACGACATGTTTGTTTGTCATAGTGTAATTACACTGTAATTACTAGTTTACTGTTTGGTTGCACAAGTGTAATTACACAATTAGATAAAATTTTAAATGAAGTAATTATCAAAACTTGAAAGTTAATATAATAAATATTGCCTATAAATTTTTATAAGTATAAATGATACTATATTTGGTATTTAAGATATATATTTTTCGTGAATATACATTAATTAGTAATCATATATTTATAACTAATATTGTAAAAAATAATTTTTATATATTTTCTAAATTAATACTAATTTAGATACTTACAAAAACTAAAAAAAAATGTTTTGTAAAATATATGGAATTCATGTTTGATAAAATAAATTAATACTTATAAATATAATGTCATAACATTATTCAAATGAACAACATGCAATATGAGCCAATACTACTAAAACAAGTAGATTTGAACCATGAATATAACATAATTTAAAATCCAAAAAAAATAGTTTAACATATGTCGAATTCCAACATAATATAGTAAGTTCCAGTACAACTTAAGATTATGAAACATAATAAGTTTATAACCACATTCAACAACGAAATTTCACTTTAATTGCATCACTCATTATATACCAAGTTTGTTAATGATTATTTCTAATATTAGGAGGTGTAATTTCAAAAAATAGAATAATAAAATAAATAAATAATAAAATATAAGCAATTTCATGGAATCACTAGAAGTAAAGCTAGAGAAATAAAATATAAATAATGTACAAAGACAATATATTTTAAAATTTCAAAAACAATTAAAAATAAAAATAAAATTAAAAAAAATTAAAAATAGAAATAAAAAGTTATAAAGAAAGAAAAATAAAAATAAAAGGAAATAAACTAAAAAGCAACCTTGTAATTACACTGTGTAATTACCACCAATTCTCACCTCCCCCTTGAGAATTGGAGAGTGTAATTACACCCCTCCAATTACACCCAATTCCATGCTGACCAAGTAATTACTTGGCCAAACAAACATGCCAAACTGTGTAATTACACTCAATTACACCCAAATCCAATTCCTAAGTGGCTTTCCAAACAGGCTCTTGGTTTAAGGTTATTTTCCTCCGCAAGATTTATAGTAGTAGTGTTTTTCGCATCATCCATATAAACATACATACCAAAGGGTAAATACTTACCCCTACTAAATGTTCATGTCAAACTAGTTAAAATTAAAGTTAGCATACATATCACGTGACTATGATTAAACGATAAATGTATGTATTTAAACAATTATTTTGTATTCGTTGATTTGCTATAAAATTGAGTATGTCAGGTAGGAGTGACAAACGGGCGGGTCGGGTTGGATATGGTTTGGGTCGAAGACGGGTAATGAAAAAACGGATAAATTATCCAACCCGACGCATATTTAATATGGATAAAAAATGGGTTAACCGTCGATAATATGGGTAACCATATTGTTCATGACTTCTTGCATATGATCATTTTTGGGAATAGTTTCCCTAACTTGAGGAACCCCCTATTTGAGGCTTTACAAGTAAAAGTTAGACTCATTGGTTATTGTTACCCATTGGTTATCCATTTTCCAAATGGATAATATGGTTCTTATCCATATTTGACCCGTTTTTAAAAAATTCTTTATCCCACCCAGTTTTTAGTGGATAATATGGGCGGTTAACTGTTTTCTTTTAACCATTTTGCCACCCCTAATGATAAATTTATACTCCTACCGGAATATTAGTTACAATCACTACTGCTTTATAACAGTGGAGAGACACCCTTATCATTTGTACAGAGATAATTTAGATTTTAAGTAGGTATGGGTTGCATCACTGACCACTTATGACGGTAGATACGAACTTTGTATAAGTATATATTTTCTAAAAACTATATATCTATATATATCTATATATATATAGATTTTAAGTCAAGAGTAAGATGGTACAATCATGAACCGTGCCAATTATACATATGTCCATATAGTAATATGGACGGAAAGAGAGTCAATGAGGTGATGTGCGGTGCATTGTTGGGCGCGGAGAAGGTTAGCTGCTGTCGCAGGGATTTGTTTGTGTATGGGGCGTGGTCCATGCTCGCCAGCTTTCTCTAACTTCCTTTTGGTGGAAGGATCTAGCTTGTAAGTTCTCGGATTACGTGAATCTAGTAATTTTCGTTTTGATCAGCTATATGTATTAAAATTTACTAAATATTGTAAATATTTAGCATTGAACCTAATTATTATTGTGTATTAACTTAAAATTGCTATTGAACCCCTAAACTTCAACTCCTGAGTTCGCATGTTCCTCTCTCAACTAAACTACACCAAAAGAAGAGCAATTATTAATAGAAAACTAAGTCTTCGATCTAGGTAATATAAAAGAAATGTCTACAATCTTGGTATATGGTGGCATTATTTAGAAAAGAGAACTTGTCCCTTTACATCGAGAAAGGGGATTGGTTTCACTTCCATTAGTAATTAGTTTTGATGTGTGTGACGGAGGATCCATGGCCTAAAGCAAGATGCTTCCTATCTAGCTGTGAACCCTATGTCACCCTCATCGTGATACAGTTTCGTTCCATTTTCTCTTCGTTTCTAGTCATTATTTGCCTAGTGGGTCCCGTAAATATTATGATTCTGATATTTGGATATTGCTATTTGAACGTAATGAACTCCATTACCAACATGATATTATAGATCTTGTTTGGCTATTTGTTATAAATGACATTGGACGGATGAGATTACCCCAGAGGCGGACCTATGACTTATGTTGAGGGGTCACCGGACCCTGTAAACTTCAGCAGAAATCTTGTATATGTATATGTGTATACCTTGAAAATGGTTAATTTAAATCACTTGGCACCCTTAACGCTAAAAGCCTTTAGGGAGAAATGATTGAACAGAATATTGTGCCCCCGTCGCATTAAGTTCCTTGGTCCGCCTCTGGATTACCCACTTCATAAATTAAATAGTTAGTAGTATTTATTTTTCTTAAAATTATGTGGGAAAGTGATATACAAGTTTAAAAATTCAAATTCAGAAATAAGAAGATACCCATTAAAAGAAATCAGGGCTATTTGCTCTAGGAAAACTAATGTAATTTACTTGGTTTTCAAGATTCAAGCACTTAAACAACTAAATTCAGCACAAGATGAGATAGGCATACTTCCGACCTAATTGCGCGGTTGTTGGTTGAGTTTGCTTCTCCTTCTCTAGAAGTTAATTAATGTTGGGTCAAACGTTTCTTCCCATGAATATGTCAAATTATGACTCATCTTTTATTAATTATTTATGAGATTAAAAGCTGTGCAAACAGAAAGGAGAATTACAATTTTTAACCGTTTCATTTGGAAGCAAATCCTCCTACGTGGCCTGGCTCCATTTCTGCTCATTTTATCCCTTAACAATAACAAGTTGATGCGCAAACCCCAAGTGAGGGTAAGTATAGCAAAAATTGATCCCATTTTCTGAGTTTCTTTTTTTTTCCTTCACATATTTTTGGTCATTAAGCTATTTCATTAGAATATTTTATTGGGTGTTTTCTGCTTGTTTAATTTGAATAACACCTATTTGGGGACATTTCCATTTTTCAGAAAGACGTGTGGCAAAGGTTAATTATTAGTTGAACAGATGAACACCTGTATAATTACGTACCAATGATGCCGCACTGAAGCAAACAGTTTGGTAACAATTGGAAAATCTAGTTTTGGTTATACGTTTGAGAAGAAATTAAGTAAAGTATCCATCATGCATCCTAATACAGCTCTCCTATATATCTTGACAAATGAGTTTCTATTTTTCTACTAAAAAGAAATTAAAAATAAATAAATCAAAGCCACACAAAGTCCAACTTGTGCGCTTTCATTCATGAAACATTTGGCATTTGCCAACCCCCAACCTCTCTCGCACTGTCCTTTCCATCAACATTAAGCCAAAAAATGTTGAAGATAACAACAATCTAATACTAGTAATTAAATTAATCATGCATGCAGGGGTAGGAAGAAAAGAGTGAATTGGTGATGGTAATTGTTTGATCAAAAAATATTAGGCCTTTTTGTTAAACTAATTAAGTAAAAAGATTTGGGCAAATCCTAGCAAGAGATAATATATTCTAGATCTGAGATAGAAGATACGAATAAACAGGCATAATTAAACATAAATATGATTACAGTTGCGATTGAATCTCACGATGTAAGAAATAGATGATTGCTCCAATAATATCAAATGATAATGAGAAATACATAAAGGAAAAGAATCACCATTCTGGAACAAGACCAACTTCAATACATTTGATAAAATTGAATTACAAATGAACACTGAGATTCTAAGCTCTTTATCTCCTTTTTCGGCGAGGAACTGAGGTTAGGGAACATCTTCATCTTTCGGAGATGTATATATTTGTGCGTGTGTCTTCTTCTCAGTCCCCCTTTTTGTTACTTTCTCCCATGATATTTATACAAAATACTTTCTTTACTCAGTGGTCCTTAACCGGAGTACCTAAATTCTTGGAATATTCTGTAGAATATTCCTCTGAAATGTCTAAGTGTTGAACTAGCCGTTCGGGCCAAATTGAGTGCTCGTCCTCGCCCGTAGCTAAATCACTTTGCCGGTATGTTGCTTCCTATATGTGACTTCGGCTTGGTTGCTTCTTGGTCGTTCTTCCTTAAGTAGAATTCCTCTGATCAGATTTTGACCCATACAGTTAGTCCTTCCGCCCATCGGGGTTGCCTTTGGGCGAGCTCGGTGGGCGGACTTTGCTAGTTACACCTTTTGAGAAATCTGAGCACATTGGCCGAAGAATGACCCTTCTTAGCGAGATGACGATGCGATGCTTCGGGTGTCGTACTTGGCCGTTCTGTCAGTTTGAAATGACGTCAA